CATCATTTTTAAGTACCATTACGTGTTAGGAGCAGTATCTCATTTAATCCACATAATTAGCCCTGGAGGAAACGGCAGCTCAGTGAAGTGAAGTCACTTCCCCAAAGACATAGTGGCAAGAGATTTAATCTGGGATTTAATCCAGATCTGCCTGACCCCAAACCCTGTAGGTACCCTTTTCATTACACTTTCTTTGGGAGAGAAGCAACCTCATCACTGTCTGTAGAGAAAGCCCCGCTACCGTTCTCTGCGTTATTATTAAACTAGAAAGTTACAGATTTAGTCATTCCATGTCCGACAGGCGCTGACCAGCCAGGGAGAAGTGATGTCTCAGAAATTCCAGACCTAAATTCTGTATCCCACACCCTCACCATGTATTCCTTGTTACACTATCAATCTGGAGCTGCAGCTCAGGAAGTTCTGCGCTGGCTGACCAAAACAACAAAGAAAACTTTCCCCTTCCCCTTCTCAGCAGCCCTAGGAGAAAGTAGGCATCTTTAAGGTGAAGATTTCCAGTGGAACTCGGATTTCTGCCTGGCTCACGTCCACAGAATTTAACATCGAAAGAGCCACGGCCTGGGATTTATCCCGAGTTCCTGGGCAAAAGCCAGGAAGACAGAGCCAGACAGATAGGCCGGAGCTGAGAGGCTTCAGACTAAAAAAGACAAGAAAACGAGGTTCTAAGTCCCAGAAAGCTGCTGTGAGCCCGATGGGATGGCCCCAGATTTAAGAGCACAGTTACTACAGGCAACTTGTGGAGGCACCACGGAATTCCCCAGCAAATGCCAAGTTGCACTGGACATTTTAGAGTGACAATGAGAAAAGAGTTCAGAAGCCAGGGAGACCGAGTAAGTTTACAGGGAGCCCATGGGTGAGAAACGTCTGGGGTCTGAGATAAAGGATGGGATCCCACACAATGGGGACCCGTCCTGGAAGGCAGAGAGATGGGAAGGCATTGCGCTACAGAAGGAATTCCATTTCACAAGGAGAAAAGGCTGGGAAGAAAAGAGGGTTTTATCTGTACAAGGGGAGGGGGGGGTGGTCCCTGAGAATATAGTAGTAACTCAATGAAGGGGAGGGGTGTGTATGAGTGTGTGTGTGTGTGTGTGTGTGTGTGTGTGAGCGTGCAGCGCAGAAGGAAACTCCCCAAAAGGAAATGAGGCTCTGCGCCAGGAAGGCGATCCAGAGGGCTGTGGGAGCGAGGCTCCCGTGCAGAGGATGTCCCGCAGGAGGCCAGACCCGCACACTCACCTCGGCCATAGCCCTGCGTGTGCTTGGCAAAGCTCC